ATTGGTTTCAGGTTGATGAATGTGTTTCTCGCCTTCCCGATTCTCGATTTGACATCTTCGTCCGTTCCTCCTGTGGTTGAGACAATGCTCCCTAGATAAGTGAAAGAAGTAACCTCTTTCAAATCCCTCCCGTTGATGGTGATTGGCGCTGGATGTTGTTGCTGCTGCTGTTGTTGTTGGTTGGTTATTTTCATGACCTCCGTCTTGTCTATGTTCACCTGGAGTCCTGTCTTTGCTGCTTCTTCGACCAGTTTGTCGGTTTTCGCTTGTAAGTCTTCGACTTTGTGTGACATCAAACATAAATCATCCACGCGCGAAATCCAGGTCTTCTAGATTCTTCACGTCGGTCCAGGATATCCCTGTCTTCTCGTTTCCCACTGTCTGACGCATAATCCAGTCCACCACAATTAGGAATATCATTGGTGATAATAAGCACCCTTGTCTGACTCCTGTGTTTACTCCAAACGCTTCGCTGAGTTTTCCGTTGTGGATCACTTGACATGTGCCGTTGTCGTACAGTTGTTGAATAAGGTTGATGAATATTTGGGGTACGCCGTAGTACTCGAGTAGTTTCCAAATTACTTCGCGGTCAACGCTGTCGAAGGCCTTCTCAAAGTCTATGAAGTTGAGGTAGAGATTTGATTGCCATTCCATGCTTTGTTCGATGATGATGCGTAGAGTTGCAATTTGGTCAGAACATGATTTGCCTTTCCTGAATCCAGCTTGTTCTGGTCGGAGTTCTGTATCCAGTGCGTCCTTTATTCTCTCCAGGATGATGCGACTCAGGATTTTACTTGGCGTCGACAGGAGCATGATTCCTCGCCAGTTCTTGCAGAGTCCCAAGTCGCCCTTCTTTGGTAGTTTCACTAGGTAACCTTTCCTCCAGTCAGTAGGCACCTTTCCCTCTTTCCAGATCTTTTGCAATAATGGAGTCAGCATATCTGCTGTCGTTTCTGGGTCCGCTTTCAGTGCTTCAGGGGATATTCCATCTGGTCCAGCTGCTTTTCCAGCTTTCAGAAGCTTGATTGCATTCATGACTTCAGTTTTCGTTGGAGGATTGGTGTCAACTTGCAGTTGTGTACGTGCTGTTGTTGGTATTACTGGACGGGTTGTAGGTGGTGGTCGATTCAAGAGTCCTTTGAAGTGATCCGCCCATTGTTTAATCTGTCTTTCTTCTTTGGTAATTGGGTTCCCTTGGCTGTCTTTTATAGGTTTCACTTGTGTTGATCTCTTCCCGGATAGAGACTTGGTTATCTGATATAGTGTCCTCAGGTCCCTTTTGCCTGCTGCCTTCTCAGCTTCAGTAGCCAGGTTGTCGTAGAATTGTCTTTTGTCCTTCCTGGCACTCTTCTTCACTTCTTTGTCCAGTGCTGTGTAAGTTGAGTTCAGCGTCTCTTTCTCTTGTCCATCTTTGCATTGAATCATTTTTTCTTTCACCTTTCTCCTCTCCTCTATTAGTTTCCAAGTGTCTGTTGAGAGCCATTCCTTGTCTTGTTTCTTCTTTCTTCCTAAAACCGTTGAACACGTTTCGTTGAAAATTACCTTCAGAGAGTTCCAATGGTCTTCCACGGATGATTCCTCAGTGGTGCCACGTAGTGTTTCCTGCTTTGCTCTGACAGTTGCAGTGAAAGTGTCCTTTGTGGTTGTGTCTTTCAGTTTTTGCGTGTTGAACTTGCATTGTGGCCTATCCCCAGCTGTCCTCGAGGCTTTCAGCTTCACCTTGAAAGTCCCTTGTACTAGATAGTGGTCTGAACCCACATCTGCTCCTCTCCTCGATCTTGTGTCCAGTAGGCTCCGTCTCCACTTCCTTGAGATTGAAATGAAGTCTATCTGGTTTTTGGTGTGTCCATCTGGTGAAATCCATGTTGCCTTGTGTATATCCCTGTGTTTGAACACATTGCCACCAATCACCAAATCATTGAAGGCGCAGAAGTCTGAGAAGAGTTCGCCATTTTCGTTCATTTCACCGAGGGCCTCACGACCCATGGTGAGTTCTCTTCCTGTATTGTCTCCTCCCAGTTTCGCATTCATGTCGCCCATCAGGATTTTGATATCGCTCTTTGGGACGTTGTCCATTACTGTTTGTAGTTGACTGTAGAAATCCTCCTTCTTCTCATGTTCTGAGGCGTTTGTAGGCGCGTAGCATTGAATGATTGTAACCTTTTTTCCTTTTGAGTTGAACCTGGCTGTCATTATCCTGGAGGAGATTGGTTCCCACTGCATGAGAGCTTTAGCCGCTGTTGGTGACATCATGATGGCTACTCCCTCGGTGTGCTCGTGATCGTCCTCTGGGTGACCGGAGTAGATTATTGTCTCTCCAGTTGGTAGTTGGCTCCTTCCACATCCATTCCATCTGCTCTCGCAGATTCCCAACACTTCTATTTTATATCTCCTCATTTCTGCGGCTACCTGAGCAGCCTTCCCAGCTTCGTACATTGTACGAACATTCCACGTCCCCATCCTTATTTTTGCTCTCATCGAAAGAAGGCACATCGGCTGACTGGCTTCCCGAAGGCTTTCACCAGCCCGCGTCATTTCACTTCCCCGATTCCAGCGAAAAATAAGGTCACTATTTGTAATTTTAGAATTTTGAATATATTTGTGCGTTGAAGTTTTAGTAGCAATTTGGTTAAGTTTTGGGGGTGGAGTTGCTAGCACCACGCCCCAACCCTCCCTCTTTATTCGGGCTTGGGACCGGCTAGAATACTAGTGACCTAGTAATCTAGGCGAGGTTAATAGCACTAAGTAGTATAGCAAAAACTTAAATGATGAAATGGAACAGATAGAAAAGGCATCCATTAGGAAGATTAGAAAAGGTCAAAAGCAAAATTAAAAAAAATAACGGTGAAATTAATAATGATAAAATAAATAAGAAAAAATATAAGGCATCTACAGTTTTACCATATAAAGAGAGGACATCTAAGACCTTGTGTAGGATTCTTAATAAAGAAGGAATTAGGGCGCCATTCAAACCTACAAACTAACTTACGGATAAGCTCTGTAGACTAAACGACTCTGTTGACCTTAATTAGACAAAATAATGTAATTTACAAAATACCTTGCAATGGCCGTGAGTGAGATCAACTACATAGGTCAAGTTAGTAAATCGGGGTAGTCAAACTGTCAGAAGAAAATAATTTATCTAAGGTTAAAATGATTGACCCCGCGAAGATAAGTAATTTAGAAATAAGTTCAGTAATCACACTTCATGCATTAACACACAACCACACAATGCGGTGGGAGAGGGTTAAACTTCTAAGAAGTAATATAGATTACTGAATCTTTGTTCATAGAATCTTCACTCAGCACTTGCACTAGGAATAACTCATCGTCGATACCAGAGATATGGAAAATACTACTCCCGATCAAATCAAGAGATGAAAAATAGTGGAATAATATATAAATGAAGTTGGAAAGTTGTGTGAGTAACCTAATATGATTACAAGCAATAAATTGTATTCGAAACGTGGTCAGCAGTAAATATTACTGTATAACAATCTGAGAATTTATCAAGATCAAATTTCTCTTTAATGGAAGGAATCTGTATGACTCATTTTTCCGAGTGAATGATATTATGTTGTTTGTGTCTTCATATAAGAACACTTACTTAAAAGTTTGAACGCACATACCTTATTGATGAGTACAGAAAGATGCGAAAGGAACATAAATCAAGCAGTTTCACAGTCTAAGAGAGTACACTGTAGCGTACCTTACCTTGCGAAAGTACACATATGTGACAGATATTGAGAGATTTTAGAAAATGCAATTTGATTGCCAACCACGTGAAAAGAAATTCGTGTACAACGAAATGTAATGATATAAAACAATAATACAAAACATTTTATAATAATAAAGAATGCAATAAGTAGAAGATTACATAAGAAGAATTGAGGGAAGCTTGTGGGTGGTCAGTAAGTAAAGAGAGTTGCTGTATTTTTAAAACGCTAAAAAAAAACAAAACATAAATATGGAACAAGACCCAGAGTACAAAAGTGAAAACTACTAGAGAAAACCAATAAAAAAATCATAAAAAAATTGATCCAAAAAAAAAAAAACGACAAAAAAAATTACAAATAAACAGAGACACAAACTGTCAAACTCTCAAGTGCTCAAACACTCGCCAAATCACACACTCAGTCACTCACTCAGTGACTGACTGACTCGCTCTCTCTCTCTCCCTCACACACACACACACACACACCGTCAGTCCTCTCTATTGACTATTCACACCCACATACACTCACACGCAACACGCACGGACGGACACACGCAAAGGTAAACAGACAGACACACTAACACACTGAAATCACCACGCGAACACACAGCATCGAACACGATCACCACCACCTGTCACGAATTACCAATATCAACATTCAATCGACAGGCTGACGAGCACTCACACACACACACACACGCACGCGCCCACGACCGCAAGCACAAACCCACACACACTCACCCACAAACTAACACATTCTACACCTGCATCACTCAATCAATCCCTCACGCCCTCATGCACTACCAGTCAACCACGGACACAGTCAGGCGAACACATTCATCAATTCGCCAGTTGACACACAATCACACCTACACAGTAACACGGATTATTGCTGCTCAAACTCACACCCTCCAATCCACTATCTCAACTGCACGCACACACACACACACATATACCTGCACGCACGCACTCTCGCTCGCAGGCGCACACACACACCAACACCAACACCAACTCTACTCAGTCCACACACTCCATCAACACCATCGCATACACGCGAAACTGTCACTTCCCCTGTGCAATCATGCAAGTGTTGACCATAGCTTCCTGTCTTCTCTACATCTCCCTCTATCTACAGGTCAGCCATCATCAACTTCTACCGTCACCCTGTCGGCCAATTACACCAGCCAGTCAACTCCCTCTGATCAGTCAACCTCTACGACACAAATATTCAACACCACAATCACATCACCAACACTCGGACTATCCGAGTCGCCGACATTTTTTAATGATACGGCGACCACCGAGATCTACACTGGCACCACGTCAACAGGTGAGTCTGCCAGTCACTCACTCACTCACTCACTCACTCAGTATCGCAGTCAGTCTCACCTTCCCCGACTCCACATCATCCAACGCCCACCACTATCCACACCAATCTCAATCTCTACAATCACACAACACACAGACACTCACACTTACGCACACGCACACACCACGACTATCCACTGACAGTGAAGCACATGTACACAGTCACACGAACACGAACGCCGACAACCACAAACACAAACACCCACAAACATACACTCACGATCACTCACACCCCACACTACACACACGAATTCACTACTCCCATATAACCTGAGACACAAACTGTCAAACTCTCAAGTGCTCAAACACTCGCCAAATCACACACTCAGTCACTCACTCAGTGACTGACTGACTCGCTCTCTTTCTCTTCCTCGCACACACACACACACACACCGTCAGTCCTCTCTATTGACTATTCACACCCACATACACTCACACGCAACACGCACGGACGGACACACGCAAAGGCAAACAGACAGACACACTAACACACTGAAATCACCACGCGAACACACAGCATCGAACACGATCACCACCACCTGTCACGAATTACCAATATCAACATTCAATCGACAGGCTGACGAGCACTCACACACACACACACGCACGCGCCCACGACCGCAAGCACAAACCCACACACACTCACCCACAAACTAACACATTCTACACCTGCATCACTCAATCAATCCCTCACGCCCTCATGCACTACCAGTCAACCACGGACACAGTCAGGCGAACACATTCATCAATTCGCCAGTTGACACACAATCACACCTACACAGTAACACGGATTATTGCTGCTCAAACTCACACCCTCCAATCCACTATCTCAACTGCACGCACACACACACACACATATACCTGCACGCACGCACTCTCGCTCGCAGGCGCACACACACACCAACACCAACACCAACTCTACTCAGTCCACACACTCCATCAACACCATCGCATACACGCGAAACTGTCACTTCCCCTGTGCAATCATGCAAGTGTTGACCATAGCTTCCTGTCTTCTCTACATCTCCCTCTATCTACAGGTCAGCCATCATCAACTTCTACCGTCACCCTGTCGGCCAATTACACCAGCCAGTCAACTCCCTCTGATCAGTCAACCTCTACGACACAAATATTCAACACCACAATCACATCACCAACACTCGGACTATCCGAGTCGCCGACAACTTCAACCACCTCCGGGACCACCGCCACCAACACTGGCACCACGTCAACAGGTGAGTCTGCCAGTCACTCACTCACTCACTCACTCAGTATCGCAGTCAGTCTCACCTTCCCCGACTCCACATCATCCAACGCCCACCACTATCCACACCAATCTCAATCTCTACAATCACACAACACACAGACACTCACACTTACGCACACGCACACACCACGACTATCCACTGACAGTGAAGCACATGTACACAGTCACACGAACACGAACGCCGACAACCACAAACACAAACACCCACAAACATACACTCACGATCACTCACACCCCACACTACACACACGAATTCACTACTCCCATATAACCTGAGACACAAACTGTCAAACTCTCAAGTGCTCAAACACTCGCCAAATCACACACTCAGTCACTCACTCAGTGACTGACTGACTCGCTCTCTCTCTCTCCCTCACACACACACACACACACACCGTCAGTCCTCTCTATTGACTATTCACACCCACATACACTCACACGCAACACGCACGGACGGACACACGCAAAGGCAAACAGACAGACACACTAACACACTGAAATCACCACGCGAACACACAGCATCGAACACGATCACCACCACCTGTCACGAATTACCAATATCAACATTCAATCGACAGGCTGACGAGCACTCACACACACACACGCACGCGCCCACGACCGCAAGCACAAACCCACACACACTCACCCACAAACTAACACATTCTACACCTGCATCACTCAATCAATCCCTCACGCCCTCATGCACTACCAGTCAACCACGGACACAGTCAGGCGAACACATTCATCAATTCGCCAGTTGACACACAATCACACCTACACAGTAACACGGATTATTGCTGCTCAAACTCACACCCTCCAATCCACTATCTCAACTGCACGCACACACACACACACATATACCTGCACGCACGCACTCTCGCTCGCAGGCGCACACACACACCAACACCAACACCAACTCTACTCAGTCCACACACTCCATCAACACCATCGCATACACGCGAAACTGTCACTTCCCCTGTGCAATCATGCAAGTGTTGACCATAGCTTCCTGTCTTCTCTACATCTCCCTCTATCTACAGGTCAGCCATCATCAACTTCTACCGTCACCCTGTCGGCCAATTACACCAGCCAGTCAACTCCCTCTGATCAGTCAACCTCTACGACACAAATATTCAACACCACAATCACATCACCAACACTCGGACTATCCGAGTCGCCGACAACTTCAACCACCTCCGGGACCACCGCCACCAACACTGGCACCACGTCAACAGGTGAGTCTGCCAGTCACTCACTCACTCACTCACTCACTCACTCAGTATCGCAGTCAGTCTCACCTTCCCCGACTCCACATCATCCAACGCCCACCACTATCCACACCAATCTCAATCTCTACAATCACACAACACACAGACACTCACACTTACACACACGCACACACCACGACTATCCACTGACAGTGAAGCACATGTACACAGTCACACGAACACGAACGCCGACAACCACAAACACAAACACCCACAAACATACACTCACGATCACTCACACCCCACACTACACACACGAATTCACTACTCCCATATAACCTGAGACACAAACTGTCAAACTCTCAAGTGCTCAAACACTCGCCAAATCACACACTCAGTCACTCACTCAGTGACTGACTGACTCGCTCTCTTTCTCTTCCTCGCACACACACACACACACACCGTCAGTCCTCTCTATTGACTATTCACACCCACATACACTCACACGCAACACGCACGGACGGACACACGCAAAGGCAAACAGACAGACACACTAACACACTGAAATCACCACGCGAACACACAGCATCGAACACGATCACCACCACCTGTCACGAATTACCAATATCAACATTCAATCGACAGGCTGACGAGCACTCACACACACACACACGCACGCGCCCACGACCGCAAGCACAAACCCACACACACTCACCCACAAACTAACACATTCTACACCTGCATCACTCAATCAATCCCTCACGCCCTCATGCACTACCAGTCAACCACGGACACAGTCAGGCGAACACATTCATCAATTCGCCAGTTGACACACAATCACACCTACACAGTAACACGGATTATTGCTGCTCAAACTCACACCCTCCAATCCACTATCTCAACTGCACGCACACACACACACACATATACCTGCACGCACGCACTCTCGCTCGCAGGCGCACACACACACCAACACCAACACCAACTCTACTCAGTCCACACACTCCATCAACACCATCGCATACACGCGAAACTGTCACTTCCCCTGTGCAATCATGCAAGTGTTGACCATAGCTTCCTGTCTTCTCTACATCTCCCTCTATCTACAGGTCAGCCATCATCAACTTCTACCGTCACCCTGTCGGCCAATTACACCAGCCAGTCAACTCCCTCTGATCAGTCAACCTCTACGACACAAATATTCAACACCACAATCACATCACCAACACTCGGACTATCCGAGTCGCCGACAACTTCAACCACCTCCGGGACCACCGCCACCAACACTGGCACCACGTCAACAGGTGAGTCTGCCAGTCACTCACTCACTCACTCACTCAGTATCGCAGTCAGTCTCACCTTCCCCGACTCCACATCATCCAACGCCCACCACTATCCACACCAATCTCAATCTCTACAATCACACAACACACAGACACTCACACTTACACACACGCACACACCACGACTATCCACTGACAGTGAAGCACATGTCCACAGTCACACGAACACGAACGCCGACAACCACAAACACAAACACCCACAAACATACACTCACGATCACTCACACCCCACACTACACACACGAATTCACTACTCCCATATAACCTGAGACACAAACTGTCAAACTCTCAAGTGCTCAAACACTCGCCAAATCACACACTCAGTGACTGACTGACTCGCTCTCTCTCTCTCCCTCACACACACACACACACCGTCAGTCCTCTCTATTGACTATTCACACCCACATACACTCACACGCAACACGCACGGACGGACACACGCAAAGGCAAACAGACAGACACACTAACACACTGAAATCACCACGCGAACACACAGCATCGAACACGATCACCACCACCTGTCACGAATTACCAATATCAACATTCAATCGACAGGCTGACGAGCACTCACACACACACACACGCACGCGCCCACCACCGCAAGCACAAACCCACACACACTCACCCACAAACTAACACATTCTACACCTGCATCGCTCATTCAATCCCTCACGCCCTCATGCACTACCAGTCAACCACGGACACAGTCAGGCGAACACATTCATCAATTCGCCAGTTGACACACAATCACACCTACACAGTAACACGGATTATTGCTGCTCAAACTCACACCCTCCAATCCACTATCTCAACTGCACGCACACACACACACACATATACCTGCACGCACGCACTCTCGCTCGCAGGCGCACACACACACCAACACCAACACCAACTCTACTCAGTCCACACACTCCATCAACACCATCGCATACACGCGAAACTGTCACTTCCCCTGTGCAATCATGCAAGTGTTGACCATAGCTTCCTGTCTTCTCTACATCTCCCTCTATCTACAGGTCAGCCATCATCAACTTCTACCGTCACCCTGTCGGCCAATTACACCAGCCAGTCAACTCCCTCTGATCAGTCAACCTCTACGACACAAATATTCAACACCACAATCACATCACCAACACTCGGACTATCCGAGTCGCCGACAACTTCAACCACCTCCGGGACCACCGCCACCAACACTGGCACCACGTCAACAGGTGAGTCTGCCAGTCACTCACTCACTCACTCACTCAGTATCGCAGTCAGTCTCACCTTCCCCGACTCCACATCATCCAACGCCCACCACTATCCACACCAATCTCAATCTCTACAATCACACAACACACAGACACTCACACTTACACACACGCACACACCACGACTATCCACTGACAGTGAAGCACATGTACACAGTCACACGAACACGAACGCCGACAACCACAAACACAAACACCCACAAACATACACTCACCATCACTCACACCCCACACTACACACACGAATTCACTACTCCCATATAACCTGAGACACAAACTGTCAAACTCTCAAGTGCTCAAACACTCGCCAAATCACACACTCAGTCACTCACTCAGTGACTGACTGACTCGCTCTCTCTCTCTCCCTCACACACACACACACACACACCGTCAGTCCTCTCTATTGACTATTCACACCCACATACACTCACACGCAACACGCACGGACGGACACACGCAAAGGCAAACAGACAGACACACTAACACACTGAAATCACCACGCGAACACACAGCATCGAACACGATCACCACCACCTGTCACGAATTACCAATATCAACATTCAATCGACAGGCTGACGAGCACTCACACACACACACACGCACGCGCCCACGACCGCAAGCACAAACCCACACACACTCACCCACAAACTAACACATTCTACACCTGCATCGCTCATTCAATCCCTCACGCCCTCATGCACTACCAGTCAACCACGGACACAGTCAGGCGAACACATTCATCAATTCGCCAGTTGACACACAATCACACCTACACAGTAACACGGATTATTGCTGCTCAAACTCACACCCTCCAATCCACTATCTCAACTGCACGCACACACACACACACAATACCTGCACGCACGCACTCTCGCTCGCAGGCGCACACACACACCAACACCAACACCAACTCTACTCAGTCCACACACTCCATCAACACCATCGCATACACGCGAAACTGTCACTTCCCCTGTGCAATCATGCAAGTGTTGACCATAGCTTCCTGTCTTCTCTACATCTCCCTCTATCTACAGGTCAGCCATCATCAACTTCTACCGTCACCCTGTCGGCCAATTACACCAGCCAGTCAACTCCCTCTGATCAGTCAACCTCTACGACACAAATATTCAACACCACAATCACATCACCAACACTCGGACTATCCGAGTCGCCGACAACTTCAACCACCTCCGGGACCACCGCCACCAACACTGGCACCACGTCAACAGGTGAGTCTGCCAGTCACTCACTCACTCACTCACTCAGTATCGCAGTCAGTCTCACCTTCCCCGACTCCACATCATCCAACGCCCACCACTATCCACACCAATCTCAATCTCTACAATCACACAACACACAGACACTCACACTTACACACACGCACACACCACGACTATCCACTGACAGTGAAGCACATGTACACAGTCACACGAACACGAACGCCGACAACCACAAACACAAACACCCACAAACATACACTCACGATCACTCACACCCCACACTACACACACGAATTCACTACTCCCATATAACCTGAGACACAAACTGTCAAACTCTCAAGTGCTCAAACACTCGCCAAATCACACACTCAGTCACTCACTCAGTGACTGACTGACTCGCTCTCTCTCTCTCCCTCACACACACACACACACACACCGTCAGTCCTCTCTATTGACTATTCACACCCACATACACTCACACGCAACACGCACGGACGGACACACGCAAAGGCAAACAGACAGACACACTAACACACTGAAATCACCACGCGAACACACAGCATCGAACACGATCACCACCACCTGTCACGAATTACCAATATCAACATTCAATCGACAGGCTGACGAGCACTCACACACACACACACGCACGCGCCCACGACCGCAAGCACAAACCCACACACACTCACCCACAAACTAACACATTCTACACCTGCATCGCTCATTCAATCCCTCACGCCCTCATGCACTACCAGTCAACCACGGACACAGTCAGGCGAACACATTCATCAATTCGCCAGTTGACACACAATCACACCTACACAGTAACACGGATTATTGCTGCTCAAACTCACACCCTCCAATCCACTATCTCAACTGCACGCACACACACACACACATACCTGCACGCACGCACTCTCGCTCGCAGGCGCACACACACACCAACACCAACACCAACTCTACTCAGTCCACACACTCCATCAACACCATCGCATACACGCGAAACTGTCACTTCCCCTGTGCAATCATGCAAGTGTTGACCATAGCTTCCTGTCTTCTCTACATCTCCCTCTATCTACAGGTCAGCCATCATCAACTTCTACCGTCACCCTGTCGGCCAATTACACCAGCCAGTCAACTCCCTCTGATCAGTCAACCTCTACGACACAAATATTCAACACCACAATCACATCACCAACACTCGGACTATCCGAGTCGCCGACAACTTCAACCACCTCCGGGACCACCGCCACCAACACTGGCACCACGTCAACAGGTGAGTCTGCCAGTCACTCACTCACTCACTCACTCAGTATCGCAGTCAGTCTCACCTTCCCCGACTCCACATCATCCAACGCCCACCACTATCCACACCAATCTCAATCTCTACAATCACACAACACACAGACACTCACACTTACACACACGCACACACCACGACTATCCACTGACAGTGAAGCACATGTACACAGTCACACGAACACGAACGCCGACAACCACAAACACAAACACCCACAAACATACACTCACGATCACTCACACCCCACACTACACACACGAATTCACTACTCCCATATAACCTGAGACACAAACTGTCAAACTCTCAAGTGCTCAAACACTCGCCAAATCACACACTCAGTCACTCACTCAGTGACTGACTGACTCGCTCTCTCTCTCTCCCTCACACACACACACACACACACCGTCAGTCCTCTCTATTGACTATTCACACCCACATACACTCACACGCAACACGCACGGACGGACACACGCAAAGGCAAACAGACAGACACACTAACACACTGAAATCACCACGCGAACACACAGCATCGAACACGATCACCACCACCTGTCACGAATTACCAATATCAACATTCAATCGACAGGCTGACGAGCACTCACACACACACACACGCACGCGCCCACGACCGCAAGCACAAACCCACACACACTCACCCACAAACTAACACATTCTACACCTGCATCACTCATTCAATCCCTCACGCCCTCATGCACTACCAGTCAACCACGGACACAGTCAGGCGAACACATTCATCAATTCGCCAGTTGACACACAATCACACCTACACAGTAACACGGATTATTGCTGCTCAAACTCACACCCTCCAATCCACTATCTCAACTGCACGCACACACACACACACAATACCTGCACGCACGCACTCTCGCTCGCAGGCGCACACACACACCAACACCAACACCAACTCTACTCAGTCCACACACTCCATCAACACCATCGCATACACGCGAAACTGTCACTTCCCCTGTGCAATCATGCAAGTGTTGACCATAGCTTCCTGTCTTCTCTACATCTCCCTCTATCTACAGGTCAGCCATCATCAACTTCTACCGTCACCCTGTCGGCCAATTACACCAGCCAGTCAACTCCCTCTGATCAGTCAACCTCTACGACACAAATATTCAACACCACAATCACATCACCAACACTCGGACTATCCGAGTCGCCGACAACTTCAACCACCTCCGGGACCACCGCCACCAACACTGGCACCACGTCAACAGGTGAGTCTGCCAGTCACTCACTCACTCACTCACTCACTCAGTATCGCAGTCAGTCTCACCTTCCCCGACTCCACATCATCCAACGCCCACCACTATCCACACCAATCTCAATCTCTACAATCACACAACACACAGACACTCACACTTACACACACGCACACACCACGACTATCCACTGACAGTGAAGCACATGTACACAGTCACACGAACACGAACGCCGACAACCACAAACACAAACACCCACAAACATACACTCACGATCACTCACACCCCACACTACACACACGAATTCACTACTCCCATATAACCTGAGACACAAACTGTCAAACTCTCAAGTGCTCAAACACTCGCCAAATCACACACTCAGTCACTCACTCAGTGACTGACTGACTCGCTCTCTCTCTCTCCCTCACACACACACACACACACACCGTCAGTCCTCTCTATTGACTATTCACACCCACATACACTCACACGCAACACGCACGGACGGACACACGCAAAGGCAAACAGACAGACACACTAACACACTGAAATCACCACGCGAACACACAGCATCGAACACGATCACCACCACCTGTCACGAATTACCAATATCAACATTCAATCGACAGGCTGACGAGCACTCACACACACACACACGCACGCGCCCACGACCGCAAGCACAAACCCACACACACTCACCCACAAACTAACACATTCTACACCTGCATCGCTCATTCAATCCCTCACGCCCTCATGCACTACCAGTCAACCACGGACACAGTCAGGCGAACACATTCATCAATTCGCCAGTTGACACACAATCACACCTACACAGTAACACGGATTATTGCTGCTCAAACTCACACCCTCCAATCCACTATCTCAACTGCACGCACACACACACACACATATACCTGCACGCACGCACTCTCGCTCGCAGGCGCACACACACACCAACACCAACACCAACTCTACTCAGTCCACACACTCCATCAACACCATCGCATACACGCGAAACTGTCACTTCCCCTGTGCAATCATGCAAGTGTTGACCATAGCTTCCTGTCTTCTCTACATCTCCCTCTATCTACAGGTCAGCCATCATCAACTTCTACCGTCACCCTGTCGGCCAATTACACCAGCCAGTCAACTCCCTCTGATCAGTCAACCTCTACGACACAAATATTCAACACCACAATCACATCACCAACACTCGGACTATCCGAGTCGCCGACAACTTCAACCACCTCCGGGACCACCGCCACCAACACTGGCACCACGTCAACAGGTGAGTCTGCCAGTCACTCACTCACTCACTCACTCACTCAGTATCGCAGTCAGTCTCACCTTCCCCGACTCCACATCATCCAACGCCCACCACTATCCACACCAATCTCAATCTCTACAATCACACAACACACAGACACTCACACTTACACACACGCACACACCACGACTATCCACTGACAGTGAAGCACATGTACACAGTCACACGAACACGAACGCCGACAACCACAAACACAAACACCCACAAACATACACTCACGATCACTCACACCCCACACTACACACACGAATTCACTACTCCCATATAACCTGAGACACAAACTGTCAAACTCTCAAGTGCTCAAACACTCGCCAAATCACTCACTCAGTGACTGACTGACTCGCTCTCTCTCTCTCCCTCACACACACACACACACACCGTCAGTCCTCTCTATTGACTATTCACACCCACATACACTCACACGCAACACGCACGGACGGACACACGCAAAGGCAAACAGACAGACACACTAACACACTGAAATCACCACGCGAACACACAGCATCGAACACGATCACCACCACCTGTCACGAATTACCAATATCAACATTCAATCGACAGGCTGACGAGCACTCACACACACACACACGCACGCGCCCACGACCGCAAGCACAAACCCACACACACTCACCCACAAACTAACACATTCTACACCTGCATCGCTCATTCAATCCCTCACGCCCTCATGCACTACCAGTCAACCACGGACACAGTCAGGCGAACACATTCATCAATTCGCCAGTTGACACACAATCACACCTACACAGTAACACGGATTATTGCTGCTCAAACTCACACCCTCCAATCCACTATCTCAACTGCACGCACACACACACACATATACCTGCACGCACGCACTCTCGCTCGCAGGCGCACACACACACCAACACCAACACCAACTCTACTCAGTCCACACACTCCATCAACACCATCGCATACACGCGAAACTGTCACTTCCCCTGTGCAATCATGCAAGTGTTGACCATAGCTTCCTGTCTTCTCTACATCTCCCTCTATCTACAGGTCAGCCATCATCAACTTCTACCGTCACCCTGTCGGCCAATTACACCAGCCAGTCAACTCCCTCTGATCAGTCAACCTCTACGACACAAATATTCAACACCACAATCACATCACCAACACTCGGACTATCCGAGTCGCCGACAACTTCAACCACCTCCGGGACCACCGCCACCAACACTGGCACCACGTCAACAGGTGAGTCTGCCAGTCACTCACTCACTCACTCACTCACTCAGTATCGCAGTCAGTCTCACCTTCCCCGACTCCACATCATCCAACGCCCACCACTATCCACACCAATCTCAATCTCTACAATCACACAACACACAGACACTCACACTTACACACACGCACACACCACGACTATCCACTGACAGTGAAGCACATGTACACAGTCACACGAACACGAACGCCGACAACCACAAACACAAACACCCACAAACATACACTCACGATCACTCACACCCCACACTACACACACGAATTCACTACTCCCATATAACCTGAGACACAAACTGTCAAACTCTCAAGTGCTCAAACACTCGCCAAATCACACACTCAGTCACTCACTCAGTGACTGACTGACTCGCTCTCTCTCTCTCCCTCACACACACACACACACACACCGTCAGTCCTCTCTATTGACTATTCACACCCACATACACTCACACGCAACACGCACGGACGGACACACGCAAAGGCAAACAGACAGACACACTAACACACTGAAATCACCACGCGAACACACAGCATCGAACACGATCACCACCACCTGTCACGAATTACCAATATCAACATTCAATCGACAGGCTGACGAGCACTCACACACACACACACGCACGCGCCCACCACCGCAAGCACAAACCCACACACACTCACCCACAAACTAACACATTCTACACCTGCATCGCTCATTCAATCCCTCACGCCCTCATGCACTACCAGTCAACCACGGACACAGTCAGGCGAACACATTCATCAATTCGCCAGTTGACACACAATCACACCTACACAGTAACACGGATTATTGCTGCTCAAACTCACACCCTCCAATCCACTATCTCAACTGCACGCACACACACACACACATATACCTGCACGCACGCACTCTCGCTCGCAGGCGCACACACACACCAACACCAACACCAACTCTACTCAGTCCACACACTCCATCAACACCATCGCATACACGCGAAACTGTCACTTCCCCTGTGCAATCATGCAAGTGTTGACCATAGCTTCCTGTCTTCTCTACATCTCCCTCTATCTACAGGTCAGCCATCATCAACTTCTACCGTCACCCTGTCGGCCAATTACACCAGCCAGTCAACTCCCTCTGATCAGTCAACCTCTACGACACAAATATTCAACACCACAATCACATCACCAACACTCGGACTATCCGAGTCGCCGACAACTTCAACCACCTCCGGGACCACCGCCACCAACACTGGCACCACGTCAACAGGTGAGTCTGCCAGTCACTCACTCACTCACTCACTCAGTATCGCAGTCAGTCTCACCTTCCCCGACTCCACATCATCCAACGCCCACCACTATCCACACCAATCTCAATCTCTACAATCACACAACACACAGACACTCACACTTACACACACGCACACACCACGACTATCCACTGACAGTGAAGCACATGTACACAGTCACACGAACACGAACGCCGACAACCACAAACACAAACACCCACAAACATACACTCACGATCACTCACACCCCACACTACACACACGAATTCACTACTCCCATATAACCTGAGACACAAACTGTCAAACTCTCAAGTGCTCAAACACTCGCCAAATCACACACTCAGTCACTCACTCAGTGACTGACTGACTCGCTCTCTCTCTCTCCCTCACACACACACACACACACACCGTCAGTCCTCTCTATTGACTATTCACACCCACATACACTCACACGCAACACGCACGGACGGACACACGCAAAGGCAAACAGACAGACACACTAACACACTGAAATCACCACGCGAACACACAGCATCGAACACGATCACCACCACCTGTCACGAATTACCAATATCAACATTCAATCGACAGGCTGACGAGCACTCACACACACACACACACGCACGCGCCCACCACCGCAAGCACAAACCCACACACACTCACCCACAAACTAACACATTCTACACCTGCATCACTCAATCAATCCCTCACGCCCTCATGCACTACCAGTCAACCACGGACACAGTCAGGCGAACACATTCATCAATTCGCCAGTTGACACACAATCACACCTACACAGTAACACGGATTATTGCTGCTCAAACTCACACCCTCCAATCCACTATCTCAACTGCACGCACACACACACACATATACCTGCACGCACGCACTCTCGCTCGCAGGCGCACACACACACCAACACCAACACCAACTCTACTCAGTCCACACACTCCATCAACACCATCGCATACACGCGAAACTGTCACTTCCCCTGTGCAATCATGCAAGTGTTGACCATAGCTTCCTGTCTTCTCTACATCTCCCTCTATCTACAGGTCAGCCATCATCAACTTCTACCGTCACCCTGTCGGCCAATTACACCAGCCAGTCAACTCCCTCTGATCAGTCAACCTCTACGACACAAATATTCAACACCACAATCACATCACCAACACTCGGACTATCCGAGTCGCCGACAACTTCAACCACCTCCGGGACCACCGCCACCAACACTGGCACCACGTCAACAGGTGAGTCTGCCAGTCACTCACTCACTCACTCACTCACTCAGTATCGCAGTCAGTCTCACCTTCCCCGACTCCACATCATCCAACGCCCACCACTATCCACACCAATCTCAATCTCTACAATCACACAACACACAGACACTCACACTTACACACACGCACACACCACGACTATCCACTGACAGTGAAGCACATGTACACAGTCACACGAACACGAACGCCGACAACCACAAACACAAACACCCACAAACATACACTCACGATCACTCACACCCCACACTACACACACGAATTCACTACTCCCATATAACCTGAGACACAAACTGTCAAACTCTCAAGTGCTCAAACACTCGCCAAATCACACACTCAGTCACTCACTCAGTGACTGACTGACTCGCTCTCTCTCTCTCCCTCACACACACACACACCGTCAGTCCTCTCTATTGACTATTCACACCCACATACACTCACACGCAACACGCACGGACGGACACACGCAAAGGCAAACAGACAGACACACTAACACACTGAAATCACCACGCGAACACACAGCATCGAACACGATCACCACCACCTGTCACGAATTACCAATATCAACATTCAATCGACAGGCTGACGAGCACTCACACACACACACACGCACGCGCCCACGACCGCAAGCACAAACCCACACACACTCACCCACAAACTAACACATTCTACACCTGCATCGCTCATTCAATCCCTCACGCCCTCATGCACTACCAGTCAACCACGGACACAGTCAGGCGAACACATTCATCAATTCGCCAGTTGACACACAATCACACCTACACAGTAACACGGATTATTGCTGCTCAAACTCACACCCTCCAATCCACTATCTCAACTGCACGCACACACACACACACATACCTGCACGCACGCACTCTCGCTCGCAGGCGCACACACACACCAACACCAACACCAACTCTACTCAGTCCACACACTCCATCAACACCATCGCATACACGCGAAACTGTCACTTCCCCTGTGCAATCATGCAAGTGTTGACCATAGCTTCCTGTCTTCTCTACATCTCCCTCTATCTACAGGTCAGCCATCATCAACTTCTACCGTCACCCTGTCGGCCAATTACACCAGCCAGTCAACTCCCTCTGATCAGTCAACCTCTACGACACAAATATTCAACACCACAATCACATCACCAACACTCGGACTATCCGAGTCGCCGACAACTTCAACCACCTCCGGGACCACCGCCACCAACACTGGCACCACGTCAACAGGTGAGTCTGCCAGTCACTCACTCACTCACTCACTCAGTATCGCAGTCAGTCTCACCTTCCCCGACTCCACATCATCCAACGCCCACCACTATCCACACCAATCTCAATCTCTACAATCACACAACACACAGACACTCACACTTACACACACGCACACACCACGACTATCCACTGACAGTGAAGCACATGTACACAGTCACACGAACACGAACGCCGACAACCACAAACACAAACACCCACAAACATACACTCACGATCACTCACACCCCACACTACACACACGAATTCACTACTCCCATATAACCTGAGACACAAACTGTCAAACTCTCAAGTGCTCAAACACTCGCCAAATCACACACTCAGTCACTCACTCAGTGACTGACTGACTCGCTCTCTCTCTCCCTCACACACACACACACACACCGTCAGTCCTCTCTATTGACTATTCACACCCACATACACTCACACGCAACACGCACGGACGGACACACGCAAAGGCAAACAGACAGACACACTAACACACTGAAATCACCACGCGAACACACAGCATCGAACACGATCACCACCACCTGTCACGAATTACCAATATCAACATTCAATCGACAGGCTGACGAGCACTCACACACACACACACACGCACGCGCCCACGACCGCAAGCACAAACCCACACACACTCACCCACAAACTAACACATTCTACACCTGCATCACTCAATCAATCCCTCACGCCCTCATGCACTACCAGTCAACCACGGACACAGTCAGGCGAACACATTCATCAATTCGCCAGTTGACACACAATCACACCTACACAGTAACACGGATTATTGCTGCTCAAACTCACACCCTCCAATCCACTATCTCAACTGCACGCACACACACACCAACACCAACACCAACTCTACTCAGTCCACACACTCCATCAACACCATCGCATACACGCGAAACTGTCACTTCCCCTGTGCAATCATGCAAGTGTTGACCATAGCTTCCTGTCTTCTCTACATCTCCCTCTATCTACAGGTCAGCCATCATCAACTTCTACCGTCACCCTGTCGGCCAATTACACCAGCCAGTCAACTCCCTCTGATCAGTCAACCTCTACGACACAAATATTCAACACCACAATCACATCACCAACACTCGGACTATCCGAGTCGCCGACAACTTCAACCACCTCCGGGACCACCGCCACCAACACTGGCACCACGTCAACAGGTGAGTCTGCCAGTCACTCACTCACTCACTCAGTATCGCAGTCAGTCTCGCCTTCCCCGACTCCACATCATCCAACGCCCACCACTATCCACACCAATCTCAATCTCTACAATCACACAACACACAGACACTCACACTTACACACACGCACACACCACGACTATCCACTGACAGTGAAGCACATGTCCACAGTCACACGAACACGAACGCCGACAACCACAAACACAAACACCCACAAACATACACTCACGATCACTCACACCCCACACTACACACACGAATTCACTACTCCCATATAACCTGAGACACAAACTGTCAAACTCTCAAGTGCTCAAACACTCGCCAAATCACACACTCAGTCACTCACTCAGTGACTGACTGACTGACTCGCTCTCTCTCTCTCTCTCCCTCACACACACACACACACACACCGTCAGTCCTCTCTATTGACTATTCACACCCACATACACTCACACGCAACACGCACGGACGGACACACGCAAAGGCAAACAGACAGACACACTAACACACTGAAATCACCACGCGAACACACAGCATCGAACACGATCACCACCACCTGTCACGAATTACCAATATCAACATTCAATCGACAGGCTGACGAGCACTCACACACACACACACACGCACGCGCCCACGACCGAAAGCACAAACCCACACCCACTCACCCACAAACTAACACATTCTACACCTGCATCACTCAATCAATCCCTCACGCCCTCATGCACTACCAGTCAACCACGGACACAGTCAGGCGAACACATTCATCAATTCGCCAGTTGACACACAATCACACCTACACAGTAACACGGATTATTGCTGCTCAAACTCACACCCTCCAATCCACTATCTCAACTGCACGCACACACACACACACATACACGCACGCACGCTCTCTCGCTCGCGCGCGCACACACACCAACACCAACACCAACTCTACTCAGTCCACACACTCCCTCAACACCATCGCATACACGCGAAACTGTCACTTCCCCTGTGCAATCATGCAAGTGTTGACCATAGCTTCCTGTCTTCTCTACATCTCCCTCTATCTACAGGTCAGCCATCATCAACTTCTACCGTCACCCTGTCGGCCAATTACACCAGCCAGTCAACTCCCTCTGATCAGTCAACCTCTACGACACAAATATTCAACACCACAATCACATCACCAACACTCGGACTATCCGAGTCGCCGACAACTTCAACCACCTCCGGGACCACCGCCACCAACACTGGCACCACGTCAACAGGTGAGTCTGCCAGTCACTCACTCACTCACTCAGTATCGCAGTCAGTCTCACCTTCCCCGACTCCACATCATCCAACGCCCACCACTATCCACACCAATCTCAATCTCTACAATCACACAACACACAGACACTCACACTTACACACACGCACACACCACGACTATCCACTGACAGTGAAGCACATGTCCACAGTCACACGAACACGAACGCCGACAACCACAAACACAAACACCCACAAACATACACTCACGATCACTCACACCCCACACTACACACACGAATTCACTACTCCCATATAACCTGAGACACAAACTGTCAAACTCTCAAGTGCTCAAACACTCGCCAAATCACACACTCAGTCACTCACTCAGTGACTGACTGACTGACTCGCTCTCTCTCTCTCTCTCCCTCACACACACACACACACACCGTCAGTCCTCTCTATTGACTATTCACACCCACATACACTCACACGCAACACGCACGGACGGACACACGCAAAGGCAAACAGACAGACACACTAACACACTGAAATCACCACGCGAACACACAGCATCGAACACGATCACCACCACCTGTCACGAATTACCAATATCAACATTCAATCGACAGGCTGACGAGCACTCACACACACACACACGCACGCGCCCACGACCGAAAGCACAAACCCACACCCACTCACCCACAAACTAACACATTCTACACCTGCATCACTCAATCAATCCCTCACGCCCTCATGCACTACCAGTCAACCACGGACACAGTCAGGCGAACACATTCATCAATTCGCCAGTTGACACACAATCACACCTACACAGTAACACGGATTATTGCTGCTCAAACTCACACCCTCCAATCCACTATCTCAACTGCACGCACACACACACACACATACCTGCACGCACGCACTCTCGCTCGCTGGCGCACACACACACAAACACCAACACCAACTCTACTCAGTCCACACACTCCCTCAACACCATCGCATACACGCGAAACTGTCACTTCCCCTGTGCAATCATGCAAGTGTTGACCATAGCTTCCTGTCTTCTCTACATCTCCCTCTATCTACAGGTCAGCCATCATCAACTTCTACCGTCACCCTGTCGGCCAATTACACCAGCCAGTCAACTCCCTCTGATCAGTCAACCTCTACGACACAAATATTCAACACCACAATCACATCACCAACACTCGGACTATCCGAGTCGCCGACAACTTCAACCACCTCCGGGACCACCGCCACCAACACTGGCACCACATCAACAGGTGAGTCTGCCAGTCACTCACTCACTCACTCAGTATCACAGTCAGTCTCACCTTCCCCGACTCCACATCATCCAACGCCCACCACTATCCACACCAATCTCAATCTCTACAATCACACAACACACAGACACTCACACTTACACACACGCACACACCACGACTATCCACTGACAGTGAAGCACATGTCCACAGTCACACGAACACGAACGCCGACAACCACAAACACAAACACCCACAAACATACACTCACGATCACTCACACCCCACACTACACACACGAATTCACTACTCCCATATAACCTGAGACACAAACTGTCAAACTCTCAAGTGCTCAAACACTCGCCAAATCACACACTCAGTCACTCACTCAGTGACTGACTGACTGACTCGCTCTCTCTTCTCTCTCCCTCACACACACACACACACACACACACCGTCAGTCCTCTCTATTGACTATTCACACCCACATACACTCACACGCAACACGCACGGACGGACACACGCAAAGGCAAACAGACAGACACACTAACACACTGAAATCACCACGCGAACACACAGCATCGAACACGATCACCACCACCTGTCACGAATTACCAATATCAACATTCAATCGACAGGCTGACGAGCACTCACACACACACACACGCACGCGCCCACGACCGAAAGCACAAACCCACACCCACTCACCCACAAACTAACACATTCTACACCTGCATCACTCAATCAATCCCTCACGCCCTCATGCACTACCAGTCAACCACGGACACAGTCAGGCGAACACATTCATCAATTCGCCAGTTGACACACAATCACACCTACACAGTAACACGGATTATTGCTGCTCAAACTCACACCCTCCAATCCACTATCTCAACTGCACGCACACACACACACACATACCTGCACGCACGCACTCTCGCTCGCTGGCGCACACACACACCAACACCAACACCAACTCTACTCAGTCCACACACTCCCTCAACACCATCGCATACACGCGAAACTGTCACTTCCCCTGTGCAATCATGCAAGTGTTGACCATAGCTTCCTGTCTTCTCTACATCTCCCTCTATCTACAGGTCAGCCATCATCAACTTCTACCGTCACCCTGTCGGCCAATTACACCAGCCAGTCAACTCCCTCTGATCAGTCAACCTCTACGACACAAATATTCAACACCACAATCACATCACCAACACTCGGACTATCCGAGTCGCCGACAACTTCAACCACCTCCGGGACCACCGCCACCAACACTGGCACCACGTCAACAGGTGAGTCTGCCAGTCACTCACTCACTCAGTATCGCAGTCAGTCTCACCTTCCCCGACTCCACATCATCCAACGCCCACCACTATCCACACCAATCTCAATCTCTACAATCACACAACACACAGACACTCACACTTACACACACGCACACACCACGACTATCCACTGACAGTGAAGCACATGTCCACAGTCACACGAACACGAACGCCGACAACCACAAACACAAACACCCACAAACATACACTCACGATCACTCACACCCCACACTACACACACGAATTCACTACTCCCATATAACCTGAGACACAAACTGTCAAACTCTCAAGTGCTCAAACACTCGCCAAATCACACACTCAGTCACTCACTCAGTGACTGACTGACTGACTCGCTCTCTCTCTCTCCCTCACACACACACACACACCGTCAGTCCTCTCTATTGACTATTCACACCCACATACACTCACACGCAACACGCACGGACGGACACACGCAAAGGCAAACAGACAGACACACTAACACACTGAAATCACCACGCGAACACACAGCATCGAACACGATCACCACCACCTGTCACGAATTACCAATATCAACATTCAATCGACAGGCTGACGAGCACTCACACACACACACACACGCACGCGCCCACGACCGAAAGCACAAACCCACACCCACTCACCCACAAACTAACACATTCTACACCTGCATCACTCAATCAATCCCTCACGCCCTCATGCACTACCAGTCAACCACGGACACAGTCAGGCGAACACATTCATCAATTCGCCAGTTGACACACAATCACACCTACACAGTAACACGGATTATTGCTGCTCAAACTCACACCCTCCAATCCACTATCTCAACTGCACGCACACACACACACACACATACCTGCACGCACGCACTCTCGCTCGCTGGCGCACACACACACCAACACCAACACCAACTCTACTCAGTCCACACACTCCCTCAACACCATCGCATACACGCGAAACTGTCACTTCCCCTGTGCAATCATGCAAGTGTTGACCATAGCTTCCTGTCTTCTCTACATCTCCCTCTATCTACAGGTCAGCCATCATCAACTTCTACCGTCACCCTGTCGGCCAATTACACCAGCCAGTCAACTCCCTCTGATCAGTCAACCTCTACGACACAAATATTCAACACCACAATCACATCACCAACACTCGGACTATCCGAGTCGCCGACAACTTCAACCACCTCCGGGACCACCGCCACCAACACTGGCACCACGTCAACAGGTGAGTCTGCCAGTCACTCACTCACTCACTCAGTATCGCAGTCAGTCTCACCTTCCCCGACTCCACATCATCCAACGCCCACCACTATCCACACCAATCTCAATCTCTACAATCACACAACACACAGACACTCACACTTACACACACGCACACACCACGACTATCCACTGACAGTGAAGCACATGTCCACAGTCACACGAACACGAACGCCGACAACCACAAACACAAACACCCACAAACATACACTCACGATCACTCACACCCCACACTACACACACGAATTCACTACTCCCATATAACCTGAGACACAAACTGTCAAACTCTCAAGTGCTCAAACACTCGCCAAATCACACACTCAGTCACTCACTCAGTGACTGACTGACTGACTCGCTCTCTCTCTCTCCCTCACACACACACACACACCGTCAGTCCTCTCTATTGACTATTCACACCCACATACACTCACACGCAACACGCACGGACGGACACACGCAAAGGCAAACAGACAGACACACTAACACACTGAAATCACCACGCGAACACACAGCATCGAACACGATCACCACCACCTGTCACGAATTACCAATATCAACATTCAATCGACAGGCTGACGAGCACTCACACACACACACACACGCACGCGCCCACGACCGAAAGCACAAACCCACACCCACTCACCCACAAACTAACACATTCTACACCTGCATCACTCAATCAATCCCTCACGCCCTCATGCACTACCAGTCAACCACGGACACAGTCAGGCGAACACATTCATCAATTCGCCAGTTGACACACAATCACACCTACACAGTAACACGGATTATTGCTGCTCAAACTCACACCCTCCAATCCACTATCTCAACTGCACGCACACACACACACATACCTGCACGCACGCACTCTCGCTCGCTGGCGCACACACACACCAACACCAACACCAACTCTACTCAGTCCACACACTCCCTCAACACCATCGCATACACGCGAAACTGTCACTTCCCCTGTGCAATCATGCAAGTGTTGACCATAGCTTCCTGTCTTCTCTACATCTCCCTCTATCTACAGGTCAGCCATCATCAACTTCTACCGTCACCCTGTCGGCCAATTACACCAGCCAGTCAACTCCCTCTGATCAGTCAACCTCTACGACACAAATATTCAACACCACAATCACATCACCAACACTCGGACTATCCGAGTCGCCGACAACTTCAACCACCTCCGGGACCACCGCCACCAACACTGGCACCACGTCAACAGGTGAGTCTGCCAGTCACTCACTCACTCACTCACTATCGCAGTCAGTCTCACCTTCCCCGACTCCACATCATCCAACGCCCACCACTATCCACACCAATCTCAATCTCTACAATCACACAACACACAGACACTCACACTTACACACACGCACACACCACGACTATCCACTGACAGTGAAGCACATGTCCACAGTCACACGAACACGAACGCCGACAACCACAAACACAAACACCCACAAACATACACTCACGATCACTCACACCCCACACTACACACACGAATTCACTACTCCCATATAACCTGAGACACAAACTGTCAAACTCTCAAGTGCTCAAACACTCGCCAAATCACACACTCAGTCACTCACTCAGTGACTGACTGACTGACTCGCTCTCTCTTTCTCTCTCCCTCACACACACACACACACACACCGTCAGTCCTCTCTATTGACTATTCACACCCACATACACTCACACGCAACACGCACGGACGGACACACGCAAAGGCAAACAGACAGACACACTAACACACTGAAATCACCACGCGAACACACAGCATCGAACACGATCACCACCACCTGTCACGAATTACCAATATCAACATTCAATCGACAGGCTGACGAGCACTCACACACACACACACACGCACGCGCCCACGACCGAAAGCACAAACCCACACCCACTCACCCACAAACTAACACATTCTACACCTGCATCACTCAATCAATCCCTCACGCCCTCATGCACTACCAGTCAACCACGGACACAGTCAGGCGAACACATTCATCAATTCGCCAGTTGACACACAATCACACCTACACAGTAACACGGATTATTGCTGCTCAAACTCACACCCTCCAATCCACTATCTCAACTGCACGCACACACACACACATACCTGCACGCACGCACTCTCGCTCGCTGGCGCACACACACACCAACACCAACACCAACTCTACTCAGTCCACACACTCCCTCAACACCATCGCATACACGCGAAACTGTCACTTCCCCTGTGCAATCATGCAAGTGTTGACCATAGCTTCCTGTCTTCTCTACATCTCCCTCTATCTACAGGTCAGCCATCATCAACTTCTACCGTCACCCTGTCGGCCAATTACACCAGCCAGTCAACTCCCTCTGATCAGTCAACCTCTACGACACAAATATTCAACACCACAATCACATCACCAACACTCGGACTATCCGAGTCGCCGACAACTTCAACCACCTCCGGGACCACCGCCACCAACACTGGCACCACGTCAACAGGTGAGTCTGCCAGTCACTCACTCACTCACTCAGTATCGCAGTCAGTCTCACCTTCCCCGACTCCACATCATCCAACGCCCACCACTATCCACACCAATCTCAATCTCTACAATCACACAACACACAGACACTCACACTTACACACACGCACACACCACGACTATCCACTGACAGTGAAGCACATGTCCACAGTCACACGAACACGAACGCCGACAACCACAAACACAAACACCCACAAACATACACTCACCATCACTCACACCCCACACTACACACACGAATTCACTACTCCCATATAACCTGAGACACAAACTGTCAAACTCTCAAGTGCTCAAACACTCGCCAAATCACACACTCAGTCACTCACTCAGTGACTGACTGACTGACTCGCTCTCTCTCTCTCTCTCCCTCACACACACACACACACACACCGTCAGTCCTCTCTATTGACTATTCACACCCACATACACTCACACGCAACACGCACGGACGGACACACGCAAAGGCAAACAGACAGACACACTAACACACTGAAATCACCACGCGAACACACAGCATCGAACACGATCACCACCACCTGTCACGAATTACCAATATCAACATTCAATCGACAGGCTGACGAGCACTCACACACACACACACACGCACGCGCCCACGACCGAAAGCACAAACCCACACCCACTCACCCACAAACTAACACATTCTACACCTGCATCACTCAATCAATCCCTCACGCCCTCATGCACTACCAGTCAACCACGGACACAGTCAGGCGAACACATTCATCAATTCGCCAGTTGACACACAATCACACCTACACAGTAACACGGATTATTGCTGCTCAAACTCACACCCTCCAATCCACTATCTCAACTGCACGCACACACACACACACATACCTGCACGCACGCACTCTCGCTCGCTGGCGCACACACACACCAACACCAACACCAACTCTACTCAGTCCACACACTCCCTCAACACCATCGCATACACGCGAAACTGTCACTTCCCCTGTGCAATCATGCAAGTGTTGACCATAGCTTCCTGTCTTCTCTACATCTCCCTCTATCTACAGGTCAGCCATCATCAACTTCTACCGTCACCCTGTCGGCCAATTACACCAGCCAGTCAACTCCCTCTGATCAGTCAACCTCTACGACACAAATATTCAACACCACAATCACATCACCAACACTCGGACTATCCGAGTCGCCGACAACTTCAACCACCTCCGGGACCACCGCCACCAACACTGGCACCACGTCAACAGGTGAGTCTGCCAGTCACTCACTCACTCAGTATCGCAGTCAGTCTCACCTTCCCCGACTCCACATCATCCAACGCCCACCACTATCCACACCAATCTCAATCTCTACAATCACACAACACACAGACACTCACACTTACACACACGCACACACCACGACTATCCACTGACAGTGAAGCACATGTCCACAGTCACACGAACACGAACGCCGACAACCACAAACACAAACACCCACAAACATACACTCACGATCACTCACACCCCACACTACACACACGAATTCACTACTCCCATATAACCTGAGACACAAACTGTCAAACTCTCAAGTGCTCAAACACTCGCCAAATCACACACTCAGTCACTCACTCAGTGACTGACTGACTGACTCGCTCTCTCTCTCCCTCACACACACACACACACCGTCAGTCCTCTCTATTGACTATTCACACCCACATACACTCACACGCAACACGCACGGACGGACACACGCAAAGGCAAACAGACAGACACACTAACACACTGAAATCACCACGCGAACACACAGCATCGAACACGATCACCACCACCTGTCACGAATTACCAATATCAACATTCAATCGACAGGCTGACGAGCACTCACACACACACACACGCACGCGCCCACGACCGAAAGCACAAACCCACACCCACTCACCCACAAACTAACACATTCTACACCTGCATCACTCAATCAATCCCTCACGCCCTCATGCACTACCAGTCAACCACGGACACAGTCAGGCGAACACATTCATCAATTCGCCAGTTGACACACAATCACACCTACACAGTAACACGGATTATTGCTGCTCAAACTCACACCCTCCAATCCACTATCTCAACTGCACGCACACACACACACACACATACCTGCACGCACGCACTCTCGCTCGCTGGCGCACACACACACCAACACCAACACCAACTCTACTCAGTCCACACACTCCCTCAACACCATCGCATACACGCGAAACTGTCACTTCCCCTGTGCAATCATGCAAGTGTTGACCATAGCTTCCTGTCTTCTCTACATCTCCCTCTATCTACAGGTCAGCCATCATCAACTTCTACCGTCACCCTGTCGGCCAATTACACCAGCCAGTCAACTCCCTCTGATCAGTCAACCTCTACGACACAAATATTCAACACCACAATCACATCACCAACACTCGGACTATCCGAGTCGCCGACAACTTCAACCACCTCCGGGACCACCGCCACCAACACTGGCACCACGTCAACAGGTGAGTCTGCCAGTCACTCACTCACTCACTCAGTATCGCAGTCAGTCTCACCTTCCCCGACTCCACATCATCCAACGCCCACCACTATCCACACCAATCTCAATCTCTACAATCACACAACACACAGACACTCACACTTACACACACGCACACACCACGACTATCCACTGACAGTGAAGCACATGTCCACAGTCACACGAACACGAACGCCGACAACCACAAACACAAACACCCACAAACATACACTCACGATCACTCACACCCCACACTACACACACGAATTCACTACTCCCATATAACCTGAGACACAAACTGTCAAACTCTCAAGTGCTCAAACACTCGCCAAATCACACACTCAGTCACTCACTCAGTGACTGACTGACTGACTCGCTCTCTCTCTCTCTCTCCCTCACACACACACACACACACCGTCAGTCCTCTCTATTGACTATTCACACCCACATACACTCACACGCAACACGCACGGACGGACACACGCAAAGGCAAACAGACAGACACACTAACACACTGAAATCACCACGCGAACACACAGCATCGAACACGATCACCACCACCTGTCACGAATTACCAATATCAACATTCAATCGACAGGCTGACGAGCACTCACACACACACACACGCACGCGCCCACGACCGAAAGCACAAACCCACACCCACTCACCCACAAACTAACACATTCTACACCTGCATCACTCAATCAATCCCTCACGCCCTCATGCACTACCAGTCAACCACGGACACAGTCAGGCGAACACATTCATCAATTCGCCAGTTGACACACAATCACACCTACACAGTAACACGGATTATTGCTGCTCAAACTCACACCCTCCAATCCACTATCTCAACTGCACGCACACACACACACATACCTGCACGCACGCACTCTCGCTCGCTGGCGCACACACACACAAACACCAACACCAACTCTACTCAGTCCACACACTCCCTCAACACCATCGCATACACGCGAAACTGTCACTTCCCCTGTGCAATCATGCAAGTGTTGACCATAGCTTCCTGTCTTCTCTACATCTCCCTCTATCTACAGGTCAGCCATCATCAACTTCTACCGTCACCCTGTCGGCCAATTACACCAGCCAGTCAACTCCCTCTGATCAGTCAACCTCTACGACACAAATATTCAACACCACAATCACATCACCAACACTCGGACTATCCGAGTCGCCGACAACTTCAACCACCTCCGGGACCACCGCCACCAACACTGGCACCACGTCAACAGGTGAGTCTGCCAGTCACTCACTCACTCACTCAGTATCGCAGTCAGTCTCACCTTCCCCGACTCCACATCATCCAACGCCCACCACTATCCACACCAATCTCAATCTCTACAATCACACAACACACAGACACTCACACTTACACACACGCACACACCACGACTATCCACTGACAGTGAAGCACATGTCCACAGTCACACGAACACGAACGCCGACAACCACAAACACAAACACCCACAAACATACACTCACGATCACTCACACCCCACACTACACACACGAATTCACTACTCCCATATAACCTGAGACACAAACTGTCAAACTCTCAAGTGCTCAAACACTCGCCAAATCACACACTCAGTCACTCACTCAGTGACTGACTGACTGACTCGCTCTCTCTCTCTCTCTCCCTCACACACACACACACACACCGTCAGTCCTCTCTATTGACTATTCACACCCACATACACTCACACGCAACACGCACGGACGGACACACGCAAAGGCAAACAGACAGACACACTAACACACTGAAATCACCACGCGAACACACAGCATCGAACACGATCACCACCACCTGTCACGAATTACCAATATCAACATTCAATCGACAGGCTGACGAGCACTCACACACACACACACGCACGCGCCCACGACCGAAAGCACAAACCCACACCCACTCACCCACAAACTAACACATTCTACACCTGCATCACTCAATCAATCCCTCACGCCCTCATGCACTACCAGTCAACCACGGACACAGTCAGGCGAACACATTCATCAATTCGCCAGTTGACACACAATCACACCTACACAGTAACACGGATTATTGCTGCTCAAACTCACACCCTCCAATCCACTATCTCAACTGCACGCACACACACACACACACATACCTGCACGCACGCACTCTCGCTCGCTGGCGCACACACACACAAACACCAACACCAACTCTACTCAGTCCACACACTCCCTCAACACCATCGCATACACGCGAAACTGTCACTTCCCCTGTGCAATCATGCAAGTGTTGACCATAGCTTCCTGTCTTCTCTACATCTCCCTCTATCTACAGGTCAGCCATCATCAACTTCTACCGTCACCCTGTCGGCCAATTACACCAGCCAGTCAACTCCCTCTGATCAGTCAACCTCTACGACACAAATATTCAACACCACAATCACATCACCAACACTCGGACTATCCGAGTCGCCGACAACTTCAACCACCTCCGGGACCACCGCCACCAACACTGGCACCACGTCAACAGGTGAGTCTGCCAGTCACTCACTCACTCACTCACTCAGTATCGCAGTCAGTCTCACCTTCCCCGACTCCACATCATCCAACGCCCACCACTATCCACACCAATCTCAATCTCTACAATCACACAACACACAGACACTCACACTTACACACACGCACACACCACGACTATCCACTGACAGTGAAGCACATGTCCACAGTCACACGAACACGAACGCCGACAACCACAAACACAAACACCCACAAACATACACTCACGATCACTCACACCCCACACTACACACACGAATTCACTACTCCCATATAACCTGAGACACAAACTGTCAAACTCTCAAGTGCTCAAACACTCGCCAAATCACACACTCAGTCACTCACTCAGTGACTGACTGACTCGCTCTCTCTCTCTCCCTCACACACACACACACCGTCAGTCCTCTCTATTGACTATTCACACCCACATACACTCACACGCAACACGCACGGACGGACACACGCAAAGGCAAACAGACAGACACACTAACACACTGAAATCACCACGCGAACACACAGCATCGAACACGATCACCACCACCTGTCACGAATTACCAATATCAACATTCAATCGACAGGCTGACGAGCACTCACACACACACACGCACGCGCCCACGACCGAAAGCACAAACCCACACCCACTCACCCACAAACTAACACATTCTACACCTGCATCACTCAATCAATCCCTCACGCCCTCATGCACTACCAGTCAACCACGGACACAGTCAGGCGAACACATTCATCAATTCGCCAGTTGACACACAATCACACCTACACAGTAACACGGATTATTGCTGCTCAAACTCACACCCTCCAATCCACTATCTCAACTGCACGCACACACACACACATACCTGCACGCACGCACTCTCGCTCGCTGGCGCACACACACACAAACACCAACACCAACTCTACTCAGTCCACACACTCCCTCAACACCATCGCATACACGCGAAACTGTCACTTCCCCTGTGCAATCATGCAAGTGTTGACCATAGCTTCCTGTCTTCTCTACATCTCCCTCTATCTACAGGTCAGCCATCATCAACTTCTACCGTCACCCTGTCGGCCAATTACACCAGCCAGTCAACTCCCTCTGATCAGTCAACCTCTACGACACAAATATTCAACACCACAATCACATCACCAACACTCGGACTATCCGAGTCGCCGACAACTTCAACCACCTCCGGGACCACCGCCACCAACACTGGCACCACGTCAACAGGTGAGTCTGCCAGTCACTCACTCACTCACTCACTCAGTATCGCAGTCAGTCTCACCTTCCCCGACTCCACATCATCCAACGCCCACCACTATCCACACCAATCTCAATCTCTACAATCACACAACACACAGACACTCACACTTACACACACGCACACACCACGACTATCCACTGACAGTGAAGCACATGTCCACAGTCACACGAACACGAACGCCGACAACCACAAACACAAACACCCACAAACATACACTCACGATCACTCACACCCCACACTACACACACGAATTCACTACTCCCATATAACCTGAGACACAAACTGTCAAACTCTCAAGTGCTCAAACACTCGCCAAATCACACACTCAGTCACTCACTCAGTGACTGACTGACTGACTCGCTCTCTCTCTCTCTCTCCCTCACACACACACACACACACCGTCAGTCCTCTCTATTGACTATTCACACCCACATACACTCACACGCAACACGCACGGACGGACACACGCAAAGGCAAACAGACAGACACACTAACACACTGAAATCACCACGCGAACACACAGCATCGAACACGATCACCACCACCTGTCACGAATTACCAATATCAACATTCAATCGACAGGCTGACGAGCACTCACACACACACACACGCACGCGCCCACGACCGAAAGCACAAACCCACACCCACTCACCCACAAACTAACACATTCTACACCTGCATCACTCAATCAATCCCTCACGCCCTCATGCACTACCAGTCAACCACGGACACAGTCAGGCGAACACATTCATCAATTCGCCAGTTGACACACAATCACACCTACACAGTAACACGGATTATTGCTGCTCAAACTCACACCCTCCAATCCACTATCTCAACTGCACGCACACACACACACACATACCTGCACGCACGCACTCTCGCTCGCTGGCGCACACACACACAAACACCAACACCAACTCTACTCAGTCCACACACTCCCTCAACACCATCGCATACACGCGAAACTGTCACTTCCCCTGTGCAATCATGCAAGTGTTGACCATAGCTTCCTGTCTTCTCTACATCTCCCTCTATCTACAGGTCAGCCATCATCAACTTCTACCGTCACCCTGTCGGCCAATTACACCAGCCAGTCAACTCCCTCTGATCAGTCAACCTCTACGACACAAATATTCAACACCACAATCACATCACCAACACTCGGACTATCCGAGTCGCCGACAACTTCAACCACCTCCGGGACCACCGCCACCAACACTGGCACCACGTCAACAGGTGAGTCTGCCAGTCACTCACTCACTCACTCACTCAGTATCGCAGTCAGTCTCACCTTCCCCGACTCCACATCATCCAACGCCCACCACTATCCACACCAATCTCAATCTCTACAATCACACAACACACAGACACTCACACTTACACACACGCACACACCACGACTATCCACTGACAGTGAAGCACATGTCCACAGTCACACGAACACGAACGCCGACAACCACAAACACAAACACCCACAAACATACACTCACGATCACTCACACCCCACACTACACACACGAATTCACTACTCCCATATAACCTGAGACACAAACTGTCAAACTCTCAAGTGCTCAAACACTCGCCAAATCACACACTCAGTCACTCACTCAGTGACTGACTGACTGACTCGCTCTCTCTCTCTCTCTCCCTCACACACACACACACACACACCGTCAGTCCTCTCTATTGACTATTCACACCCACATACACTCACACGCAACACGCACGGACGGACACACGCAAAGGCAAACAGACAGACACACTAACACACTGAAATCACCACGCGAACACACAGCATCGAACACGATCACCACCACCTGTCACGAATTACCAATATCAACATTCAATCGACAGGCTGACGAGCACTCACACACACACACACGCACGCGCCCACGACCGAAAGCACAAACCCACACCCACTCACCCACAAACTAACACATTCTACACCTGCATCACTCAATCAATCCCTCACGCCCTCATGCACTACCAGTCAACCACGGACACAGTCAGGCGAACACATTCATCAATTCGCCAGTTGACACACAATCACACCTACACAGTAACACGGATTATTGCTGCTCAAACTCACACCCTCCAATCCACTATCTCAACTGCACGCACACACACACACACATACCTGCACGCACGCACTCTCGCTCGCTGGCGCACACACACACCAACACCAACACCAACTCTACTCAGTCCACACACTCCCTCAACACCATCGCATACACGCGAAACTGTCACTTCCCCTGTGCAATCATGCAAGTGTTGACCATAGCTTCCTGTCTTCTCTACATCTCCCTCTATCTACAGGTCAGCCATCATCAACTTCTACCGTCACCCTGTCGGCCAATTACACCAGCCAGTCAACTCCCTCTGATCAGTCAACCTCTACGACACAAATATTCAACACCACAATCACATCACCAACACTCGGACTATCCGAGTCGCCGACAACTTCAACCACCTCCGGGACCACCGCCACCAACACTGGCACCACGTCAACAGGTGAGTCTGCCAGTCACTCACTCACTCACTCAGTATCGCAGTCAGTCTCACCTTCCCCGACTCCACATCATCCAACGCCCACCACTATCCACACCAATCTCAATCTCTACAATCACACAACACACAGACACTCACACTTACACACACGCACACACCACGACTATCCACTGACAGTGAAGCACATGTCCACAGTCACACGAACACGAACGCCGACAACCACAAACACAAACACCCACAAACATACACTCACGATCACTCACACCCCACACTACACACACGAATTCACTACTCCCATATAACCTGAGACACAAACTGTCAAACTCTCAAGTGCTCAAACACTCGCCAAATCACACACTCAGTCACTCACTCAGTGACTGACTGACTGACTCGCTCTCTCTCTCTCTCTCCCTCACACACACACACACACACACCGTCAGTCCTCTCTATTGACTATTCACACCCACATACACTCACACGCAACACGCACGGACGGACACACGCAAAGGCAAACAGACAGACACACTAACACACTGAAATCACCACGCGAACACACAGCATCGAACACGATCACCACCACCTGTCACGAATTACCAATATCAACATTCAATCGACAGGCTGACGAGCACTCACACACACACACACGCACGCGCCCACGACCGAAAGCACAAACCCACACCCACTCACCCACAAACTAACACATTCTACACCTGCATCACTCAATCAATCCCTCACGCCCTCATGCACTACCAGTCAACCACGGACACAGTCAGGCGAACACATTCATCAATTCGCCAGTTGACACACAATCACACCTACACAGTAACACGGATTATTGCTGCTCAAACTCACACCCTCCAATCCACTATCTCAACTGCACGCACACACACACACACATACCTGCACGCACGCACTCTCGCTCGCTGGCGCACACACACACAAACACCAACACCAACTCTACTCAGTCCACACACTCCCTCAACACCATCGCATACACGCGAAACTGTCACTTCCCCTGTGCAATCATGCAAGTGTTGACCATAGCTTCCTGTCTTCTCTACATCTCCCTCTATCTACAGGTCAGCCATCATCAACTTCTACCGTCACCCTGTCGGCCAATTACACCAGCCAGTCAACTCCCTCTGATCAGTCAACCTCTACGACACAAATATTCAACACCACAATCACATCACCAACACTCGGACTATCCGAGTCGCCGACAACTTCAACCACCTCCGGGACCACCGCCACCAACACTGGCACCACGTCAACAGGTGAGTCTGCCAGTCACTCACTCAGTATCGCAGTCAGTCTCACCTTCCCCGACTCCACATCATCCAACGCCCACCACTATCCACACCAATCTCAATCTCTACAATCACACAACACACAGACACTCACACTTACACACACGCACACACCACGACTATCCACTGACAGTGAAGCACATGTCCACAGTCACACGAACACGAACGCCGACAACCACAAACACAAACACCCACAAACATACACTCACGATCACTCACACCCCACACTACACACACGAATTCACTACTCCCATATAACCTGAGACACAAACTGTCAAACTCTCAAGTGCTCAAACACTCGCCAAATCACACACTCAGTCACTCACTCAGTGACTGACTGACTGACTCGCTCTCTCTTTCTCTCTCCCTCACACACACACACACACACACCGTCAGTCCTCTCTATTGACTATTCACACCCACATACACTCACACGCAACACGCACGGACGGACACACGCAAAGGCAAACAGACAGACACACTAACACACTGAAATCACCACGCGAACACACAGCATCGAACACGATCACCACCACCTGTCACGAATTACCAATATCAACATTCAATCGACAGGCTGACGAGCACTCACACACACACACACCCACGCGCCCACGACCGAAAGCACAAACCCACACCCACTCACCCACAAACTAACACATTCTACACCTGCATCACTCAATCAATCCCTCACGCCCTCATGCACTACCAGTCAACCACGGACACAGTCAGGCGAACACATTCATCAATTCGCCAGTTGACACACAATCACACCTACACAGTAACACGGATTATTGCTGCTCAAACTCACACCCTCCAATCCACTATCTCAACTGCACGCACACACACCAACACCAACACCAACTCTACTCAGTCCACACACTCCCTCAACACCATCGCATACACGCGAAACTGTCACTTCCCCTGTGCAATCATGCAAGTGTTGACCATAGCTTCCTGTCTTCTCTACATCTCCCTCTATCTACAGGTCAGCCATCATCAACTTCTACCGTCACCCTGTCGGCCAATTACACCAGCCAGTCAACTCCCTCTGATCAGTCAACCTCTACGACACAAATATTCAACACCACAATCACATCACCAACACTCGGACTATCCGAGTCGCCGACAACTTCAACCACCTCCGGGACCACCGCCACCAACACTGGCACCACGTCAACAGGTGAGTCTGCCAGTCACTCACTCACTCACTCAGTATCGCAGTCAGTCTCGCCTTCCCCGACTCCACATCATCCAACGCCCACCACTATCCACACCAATCTCAATCTCTACAATCACACAACACACAGACACTCACACTTACACACACGCACACACCACGACTATCCACTGACAGTGAAGCACATGTCCACAGTCACACGAACACGAACGCCGACAACCACAAACACAAACACCCACAAACATACACTCACGATCACTCACACCCCACACTACACACACGAATTCACTACTCCCATATAACCTGAGACACAAACTGTCAAACTCTCAAGTGCTCAAACACTCGCCAAATCACACACTCAGTCACTCACTCAGTGACTGACTGACTGACTCGCTCTCTCTTTCTCTCTCCCTCACACACACACACACACACACCGTCAGTCCTCTCTATTGACTATTCACACCCACATACACTCACACGCAACACGCACGGACGGACACACGCAAAGGCAAACAGACAGACACACTAACACACTGAAATCACCACGCGAACACACAGCATCGAACACGATGCTGGAAAAGCAGCTGGACCAGATGGAATATCCCCTGAAGCACTGAAAGCGGACCCAGAAACGACAGCAGATATGCTGACTCCATTACTGCAAACGGTCTGGAAGGAGAGAAAAGTGCCTACTGACTGGAGGAAAGGTTACCTCGTGAAACTACCAAAGAAGGGCGACCTAGGACTCTGCAAGAACTGGAGAGGAATCATGCTTCTGTCGACGCCAAGTAAAATTCTGAGTCGCACCATCCTGGAGATGATCAAGGATGCACTGGATACAGAACTCCGACCAGAACAAGCTGGATTCAGGAAAAGCAAATAATGTTCTGACCAAATTGCAACCCTACGCATCATCATCACAGAACAAAGCATGGAATGGCAATCAAATCTCTACCTCAACTTCATAGACTTTGAGAAGGCCTTCGACAGCGTTGACCACGAAGTAATTTGGAAACTACTCGAGTACTACGGCGTACCCCAAATATTCATCAACCTTATTCAACAGCTGTACGACAACGGCACATGTCAAGTGATCCACAACGGAAAACTCAGCGAGGTGTTTGCAGTAAACACAGGAGTCAGACAAGGCTGCTTATTATCACTAATGATATTCCTAATTGTGGTGGACTGGATTATGCGTCAGACAGTGGGAAACGAGAAGACAGGGATATCCCGGATCGACGTGAAGAACCTAGAAGACCTGGATTTCGCGGATGATTTATGTTTGATGTCACACAAAATCGAAGACTTACAAGCGAAAACCGACAAACTGGTCGAAGAGGCAGCAAAGACAAGACTCCAGGTGAACATAGACAAGACGGAGGTTATGAAAATAACCAACCAACAACAACAACAGCAGTAGCAACATCCAGCGCTAATCACCATCAACGGGAGAGATTTGAAAGAGGTTACTTCATTCACTTATCTAGGGAGCATTGTCTCAACTACAGGAGGAACGGACGAGGATGTCAAATCGAGGGTCGGTAAGGAGAGAAATACATTCATCAACCTGAAACGAATCTGGAAATCTTCGTCACTCAACATCAACAGCGAAATTCGGATTTTCAATGCAAACGTCAAGTCAGTTCTTCTATACGGATCGGAAACTTGGCAGGTCACAAAGAATATTTCCAACAGGTTGCAAACCTTTATCAACAGCTGTCTTCGTTCTATACTAAAGATCAGCTGGCCGGAAAGAATCACCAACAAGAAAATATGGGAACAAACAAAACAAGAACCAATCGCCCAACAAATATGCAGGAGAAATTGGAGATGGATTGGACACTCGCTGGGGAGGCCGCTGGGTGACATCGCGCGTCAGGCCCTCGACTGGAACCCGAAAGGGGGTGGCGAGTGGGACGTCCAAGGGTGACATGGAGGAGATCGTGTGAAGAAGAGTTGAAACAGTATGGACTAACATAGATGCAAGCAAAAAGTACAGCAGAAGACAGAAGCAAGTGGAGACATGCAGTTGAAGCCCTTTGTTCCACCAGGAACCCAAGGGAACAATAATAATAATCAACTGTAAACCTCAATCTTTCATGCATAAGCCTTTCCTGAAATTCAACTTCAGTCATTCTCAAAAACCTTCTTTCTACTGTTTCCCTATCCTCTATGTAGAAGACAGATGTAACCCCTTTGTAGTCACTTCCTGGACCCAAATACCAATCAAAGGCCGATAAGGATGAAAATGGTTGACTGGTCCTCCATATGCTCTGTTTAAGCACCCAATGTGCCTCAGGCACATTAGTCCCAGTCAGTAAACTGACTTCTTTACAGTCAACATCTAGAAAGGGAATTTCCGCTAGATGAGGCCATTGCTTCAGATGCTCGTTTGACGGGATCCTTGCTCTCTTCACAGGCAATCTCTCCAAAGTGTGGGTACTCTTTATATTTACCTTTTAGTCTTCTTTCAGAGACTCAACCTCGAAAACAACCATAGTTGAAATCTGGAACGTAGTTTCTAAAAATTGTTACTTGCAACGACATATCAATTCCTTCTACTCCTATTTGGCTAAAAATATGACTCAGTAATAATGTAGTGTCTGAACCATTGTCAAGCATTGCATATATACCTAGAAATCCTCTGGGATCTAAGTTCCGAATCGACAAATTCTTGAAAGGGAGTTCCTAATCCTCTCCTAACATAGTTGACAGTCTTGTTTATCCAGTTGTCTATGTTACGTAAAAACTTGTGACGACGTCGAGTGCTTGCTTGTATATCACAATCCCTTGCTGCACGTCAGCTGTCAACTCGGTGTTTTCGCTTCAGACAGAGGAAGCACAACTTATGCGACATGGATAAGGAAAGTCTATCTTGGTGACTCATCGACAAAACCCATTGGCACTCACGTGAGCTATGATCTTCATAGAAGACAATGACTTCTGGATTTGTGACGTTACAACGTTAACACGATGTGAAGGTACAATTCTAGAATGTCTATCATCAGCCTGTGTGCTTCAACCAAGCCAGATCTTCTGGGTGGAGTCGTGGGCCTGCCAGTAGGTCAGAGAGGAAGGCTTCCTAAATTGCATGAGACTGGCTAAATTGTTTGCGTAATATTTCCAAGACTTTCTTTAAGTTTATATTAGGGGATAACAGAACACAGTGCTCTATAAGCTCTTTAGTTGTTTCAGTGCAACTACGTATAAGATGCATCAGTCGCTGGTTGTCGTTGTTAGTTTGTTCCCCTATTACATATTAAGACACTGTATAAACTTCCAGAACTTGGTTGTTGTCCCATCGAACTTGTTAGTCTCATTCTGAGACATTCTAATGGGGCTTCTGAGATTCTGGATTACCTGACCCAATGGACTTAAACCTCGTGGTTCAGTAGTCGATAATGGGTAGGTATTTGTGGTGCTGCCGGCGTGTTCGCCTATCAACTTGTTGTCGCTGCGTCAAACATCTCCAACTTCACTGATGGTTGATTGTGAGGTTCCAGCTTTCATTTCTGTGCAACCTAAGCTTCCGAATCTTATGATTCAGTATCTCTAATTCACTTGTACTATCTGAGACAACCTCAGTGTCTGCAACTACACTAACTTTTCATTGGTATATTCCTAGAACTTAGGCTGGTACCTTGGGTGAGCTTACTATTATCGGCAAAGTTAAACTTTAAGCATCACCAACTAGAAATGGAGTGCGACTGCACGAATAACCTTGAAACGCTCACTAAGCGTGTTAGTAAAGCCTGGCAAGTAATTTTGTCAACATCAATAAAATATGGCCATCGAAGTGTTAGGTTACTAAATAGCATATCTAGTAAGTTTCAGCTTAGGTTTGGGAAAGATTAAGTTACGGCTTAAGCCAAGGACAATTTAGGGCTAGGTTAACCTAATAAAGGCGACATTAGAGTTGGTTCGAGTTAGATTACAGTTAGTTAGGTTAAGGAACCATTAGGATTAATGTTAGGGTTAGAAGACCATAATAATAACATGCATAGAATATGGTTACATTACTGTTGATATAAGAATAGAACTTGTGAACCGTGGCAGAGTATAATTCCATTGTAGGTAAAGTTTATTTTGATAAATTCTCATAGTTTTGTACAGCAACATTTATTGATGACGTTTCGAGCACAATTTATTGTTCAGGAAATATTACTAGATAACACTGAAACTTTATCAAAATAAATTTTAACCACAGTGGAATTACACTTTGTTGATACTCCAACCTAAAAGTGAGAGCTATTTTTATCACATGTGAGAGGAAGGTATCCTCTGTAACACTCTTATACAGTTTTTATGCATTTTTTCCATACACAAAAATGCCTCCTTCACGTGATTGATACGTTCGAGTTCACTTGCTGATTGGTAGCCAGTGATGCTTAAAGTTTAATTCTGACAAATTATCAAAACCAGGAACGAAAAAGATAAAAAAGGGACTTGCGGTGAAGAAAGATTGTTTCGTAGATACTCTTCGGCGATTACGGGTTTTGTCGATATGCTTTGAGTAACCGGCATTGGTTATAATCCAAAGATATCGCTACTAATTTGCCTAGGCGAATTTGTCCCCTGAGATATTCGGTACGATATTTGAACGATTATTAATACCACGCCTTCTATGACACCTAAGATTGGGAAACACAGCATTTGACTGTGATACAGTACTACTTTAAGAATGAAAATTTAAAATATTATACCATCGTGAATTGTGAAGTGACTGTGGCTGAAGTCCGTCAAAATTTACAGTTAATGTGCGTCAGTAAGTAAAAAAGCAGAGCATTGTTCAAAGAACGCGCGAATACCTGATGCATGACAAAGAGATACAGATAAACAATATTCATCAGTAATGTGTGCACAAATGAAGCATATACAGCAAATAATGTTCGACTATAAGAAAATAATTGTTGTACATCTAGTAGATTTGTAGTACAGCAGGTGATTTAAAATTCAATCACAAATGCAGATATTGTTATGAATCAACAAATACTGCTTGC